CAGAAGCCAAATGCTGCCATCCGAGACTGTGACAGAGCCATTGAAATAAATCCTGATTCAGCTCAGCCTTACAAGTGGCGAGGGAAAGCACACAGGTAAATGATTGAATTTAATTATTTTCAGAACTCTTTACATTTAAATCTGATGTGTTAAGATACTTTGTTTAAACAAAAACACAAAAGTTCCTAATGGCTTAATTTTCAAATTAGTATATACATAATATCAAGAATTGAGATAGCTTGTAGACAGCTGCTTAAAAGGAAAAAGAAAAAAGAAATTTTTAAAAAAGGAATTGAGAATATAGGAAGGAAGAAATAAGAAAATAAAAATTCTTTTCACTCCTTTCATTCAAACAAAGCTACTGTTAACAGTTTTTGACTATATATGGCCAAATATAAGGTAAGGATTTTTATTTAAAATTAATTCCAGGAGGCCAGGCGCGGTGGCTCACGTCTGTAATCCCAGCACTTTGGGAGGCCGAGACAGGTGGATCACAAGGTCAAGAGATCGAGACCATCCTGGTCAACATGGTGAAACCCCATCTCTACTAAAAATACAAAAATTAGCTGGGCATGGTAGCGCACGCCTGTAATCCCCAGCACTTTGGGAGGCGAGGCGGGTAGATCACCTGAGGTCAGGAGTTCCAGACCAGCCTGGCCAACATGGTGAAACCCTGTTTCTACGAAAATACAAAAATCAGTTGGGCATAGTGGTCGGCACCTGTAATCCCAGCTACTCATGAAGCAGAGGCAGAAGAAGCGCTTGAACCCGGGCGGTGGAGGCTGTGGTGATCCGAGATCGTGCCACTGCATTCCAGCCTGGGCACACAGAGTGAGATTCTGTTTCAAAAAAAAAAAAGCTAACTATGAGAATAGGACACAGTGAATTAAAGTATAGATTATGGTCTTCTATGAATTCTAGTTGTCTTAAATTTTTGTACCATTTCTTTGAATTCAAATGAGTATATTGTTTTCTTTTAAAATCAGCCCTGTGAAGTTAGCATGAGTTCTTTTTCCCTTGTAAGCTTAATTTTATCTTTTTAATTTAATGGATAAAAGAAAATCAGTGGAATTAATTTACCTTATCCTTTAAATTGATTTTATCCTTTTTTTCCTTAAACAAAATCAATATGGGTCATTCTAAGAGTGTGCTGTTCTATTGTTAGGGGTTTATGTACCCAGAAATTTTCCTGTCTCAAGTGAGTTACAGTATAGGTGTGGTAAGATTTGCTTTCAAAAGCCAGTTTTTGTATAACTTAGAATGTTGTCTTTTTTTTTTTTTTTTTTTTACTTGATTAAAAGAAAAATGTAAAACACTTGATAAGAGATCAAAACTTTATTAATATTTTTATCCTCTGAATATTTTTTGATAACTTTTGTTTCACTTTAGGTGAATTGCAGAAAGCCATTGACTTATTCACAGATGCCATCAAGCTGAATCCTCGCTTGGCCATTTTGTATGCCAAGAGGGCCAGGTGAGAACTCTCAACAGAAAGTATCTTCTGGTGAATAATTTCTGCACATTTGTTTAAATAGAGTTGCTTCTGTGTTGATGCCAAAAGTTTTATTGAAATGAATACTTTTTTTTGAGGGGGGTGCCATAACTCAGATACGAACTGAAATGAATACTATTTAATATCACACTTATTTTTCAGTGTCTTCGTCAAATTACAGAAGCCAAATGCTGCCATCCGAGACTGTGACAGAGCCATTGAAATAAATCCTGATTCAGCTCAGCCTTACAAGTGGCGAGGGAAAGCACACAG